TTTTGATTCTATCTTAAAATCTCAAAGAAGTGTTTATGACAAATGGGGTATTGGATTTGATTATTCTAAAAAGCAAAAGACTTTTAAGACTTCCTTTGTAAGAGCAAGTCAATCCTATCATCCTAATGTTACTTGCTATTGTTGTGGTGCAAATGGACACTTTGCTTATGCTTGTCCTCTAAAAAGATTAATAGCTCAAGGTAAAGTGAAACAAATTTGGGTTCCAAAAGGAACCATAAGAACTAACCCCCAAAGACCCAAACAAATTTGGGTACCTAAGATCAAAAATTGATTTTTGTTGTGTAGGTATGCCTTGTGAGCAAAATGAAAAACAAATGGTATCTAGATAGTGGATGCTCAAGGCACATGACGGGTGATCCTTCACAATTCTTATCACTCATGCCTTTGGATGGTGGAACCGTGACCTTTGGTGACAATGGGAAAGGAATTGGTGAAATTGGTAACAAATCTATTTCTTTTGATGATGTTTGGTATGTGGATGGATTGAAGCATAACTTGCTTAGTATTAGTCAATTATGTGATCGCATGCTTAATGTTGTATTTTTCAAGTCTCATTGCAAGATTATTGATTCTAGAAATGATCAAGTGTTGTTTGTTGGCAAAAGACTTAAAAATGTGTATGTGATTGATTTGCATGATATTGATGCTAATATTTGTCTTACCTCTATATCTCATGATGATACTTGGTTGTGGCATAGAAGATTAGGACATGCTAGCATGAGTGTTATCTCTAAGTTATTAAAGCATGATCTTGTTGATGGCTTGCCTAAGGTGAATGTAAATATTGATAGTGTGTGTGATGCATGCATGAAGGGTAAGCAAACTAGAGTTTCCTTTAAGACTAAGAAGTGCATCTCTACAAATAGACCTCTTGAGTTACTTCATATGGATTTGTTTGGACCTATGTGCACTCTAAGCATTGGAGGAAAATCATATGTGCTTGTTGTAGTTGATGACTATTCTAGATTTACATGGGTTGCTTTTCTTGCACATAAAAATGATGCACTTCATGCTTTCAAATGTCTTTATAAAAAGCTTCAAAATGAGAAAAGTTTAACTATTGTTTCTATTAGAAGTGATCATGGGGGAGAATTTGAAAATAATGACTTTGAAGATTTTTGCATTGAACATGGTATTGATCATAATTTTTCAGCCCCTAGAACTCCTCAACAAAATGGGGTGGTTGAACGGAAAAATTGTACTATTGAGGACATGGCAAGGACTATGATTTGTGAGAATGATTTGCCAAAATCCTTTTGGGCCGAAGCCGTTGCAACTTCTTGTTATTTGTTGAATAGAGTTATGGTGAGGCCTATTCTTAATAAAACCCCCTATGAAATTTACAAAGGAAGAAAACCTAAGATTTCCTACTTTAGAGCTTTTGGTTGTAAATGCTTTGTCTTGAACAATGGAAAGGACTCCCTTGGAAAATTTGATTCTAAAAGTGATGAAGGCATCTTTGTTGGATACTCTACTTCTAGTAAAGCTTACCATATGTATAATAAACATACTAAAGTTGTTGAGGAATCTATTCATGTTGTATTTGATGTGACTAACCCTATTTGCTTTAGAAAGTCTTGTAATGATGATGATGTAGATGCCATTGGAAAACAAATAAAAGATATAAATCTCAAGGAGGACAACACCAAGGAAGCTCAAGATGAGAAAAATGAGGAGGGCAAGCATGAAGAAGTGCAACAAAAACATGAGCTAAGAGAACCAACTTTCCCAAGAGAAAGATCCTATGTCAAAGGTAATGAAATTCTTGGGGATCCATCAAAAGGGGTAATTACTAGATCTCATGCTCATAATACTTGTGCTTTCATTGCCTTTATATCTCAAATTGAACCAAATAA